TTAAATTTTATATATAAAAATTAATATTTTATTGGGTTGTAGTTACCAAAGCTGCTTGATCACATTTTTTCAGACTTAAACACGATATTTAGGTGATAATTTTCGAACTTCGTAAATCTCCCTTTGAGTTCCGTAAAATTTCTTTCACTTAAAAAGAAACATTGTCTAGAGATCGGAAAAATGAAGCACATATAGTAAATATATTGCCGAAACTAAAATCATCATCAACAGCGCTTTGAACGTCTACAGTTTTGGTTCCTTGTTAATCTGTTCCAGAAACTGAAAAATCTGCACCGTGAAATACTCTTTTAGTTGCGAGTAATCTCGTTACAAATACTAAGAACTATTCCGGATGAACGGATAAACAACTTACAACAAGCGTATGATCTGCTCTTGGTTTATTCGCTGCTGTTCTTATAAAATAAGCCTTTTTTAGAAGCCAGAATAACCACTAAACAAATGTAGTGGTAAGAAATTTGATTTACCTTAGGCAGATGCTGAACTCAATCTCAATTTTTGGTCAACACACTTGTATACAAGTCAAGCCACGACAGGCGAGTGGAGTTCTTACTTCGAAATTGATCTCCAAAAACCCCATCTATAATATTTCTCGAAGTAATTTAAAACTTGTATGGCCCTCTAATTATCGGCGCTAACAAAAAAGAGAAGACCTAGTTCGAAACAATTTAGCACAACTATAAGCGAAAGTTAGGCTTTGGGTCACATTCAACTTGAACTTCCCGCCAAAACCCTCTAAACTTCTAATCTAATGGTTAAATAGCAATTCAAACTTTGTTTTAAAAGAATGCGTTTCAAAGCTGTATATCAGAAATCGAAACAAAAGAGGTTATTATAATGTCGAAAAGGCAAAATTTCTAGTGTAAAAAATATTATGTCTTTAATTTCACCTAACAGAATTCATAAGTTCGCAGTTAGGATTGCAATATTTAAACATTTGTTTGGGGTATAATATATAGTTAGGAAAATCGCAAACAACACACCTGTATTATTATTATAAACAAGTTTATATTGCATTAACTGTACCTGACTCTCGATCACACTTAGATCACACTTAGCTAATGCCAAATATGACCTTAGTGAGCTCATTGCACCTGAAATGAAAATAGAATATCGCGATCTCATCATAGATCTGTTAAGATCTTTAATTTCATCGAATAATTTTTCTGATTTCGTCAAAAGAAATGAGCGCAAAAATGCTCTTCATACAATAAAGGTAGTCTAAAGAGTTCAGTGAAGTGAATATTACTCCAAGTAATCAGATATTGAAGTAAGTGAAGATTTTAAAAACTCTCTATTAATGACATCTGCATAAAGGACAGAATGAAACCTTGGGAGCGGTAATTAAAACACGTTAGGTCTTATTGAAGCTCGTGATCTTTGCATCATTTGGTTTCAATTCACATATCGCTTCAATCAACGATTTTTTTTTTCTTTTGTTAAAAGCTCACAAATTTTTGCTTGTTCGTGAATTTTTATTCAAAACCAGTACTGTAACGATGTTCAAGCCTTCATATTCGCCAGACGTTGCAATGTGTTAGTTTTTCCAATTTCCAAAACTTAAGAGATTCTTACGAGGTCGTCGTTTTACAAGAAAGATGAAAATCGCAGAAAACGAGAAAGGCTATCCCAAAAAGCGATAATACAGCGATAATTACAAATTACAGCGATAAATACAATTTTTATTCAGAGAAGGAAAATTCTCACTATTTTTATGAGCGTATGAGCGTTAAATATAATTACTCTTTACAGATTTTCTTTTATAAAATTATTATTATTACTTAGTACTAATAGCAGGCATATACGACCCACTAAAATAGTTTAATGCTTTGCTAGAAACTTATTTCAATAAAATTAATTGCCATTCTCGATATTGCAAAGAAAGATAAGAAGAACTCAAGTGAAATATAATTCGTAACGAAATTTAATGAAAAGTCGTGCATAAAAGTAAATTGACATGCAATGCAATTAGTTTTTTATTTTTTGCTTTTTGCTTTTGTTGTTCAAAAATGCAGCGTTGTTGTGCTCGAGCTTGTGGTTTGTGCGGAAAATAGAAAAATGCAATTGGCTGTGACGTGACGGTGCCGATGATAATGGAGGCAAGAAGGTAGCTTTCTCGAAACGCAAAAGAGAAATCGAACTCAAATGCGAAAAGAAACGGAAAAACGAATAGAGAAACGTAGGCAAACAGAAAAAAAAAATATTGTGACGCAGAAAATAGTGAAAACGCAAAAGAAAATGAAATGAAACAAAACCGAAACTGACTGGGTGGAAAATTAATGGCTTCCAACCACCAATTCTAACGGAAAACGGTCATTTCGTTAGCACCAAACGAAAAAAAGAACGCAAGAAAAAACAGGGAGATAGCAAGTTACAACAAATTAATTTAGAGACTTCGGGCATTTTAAGTTGGCGTTGAAATAAATTGATTAAAATGCCACCACACACAAGCCGCAATCGACAACACGAAACAACATTTGATTGAGTGGCAAGTACAACGCTTAACAACGCTATCACGCAAACGAAGAGTATGAAATGAACAAACAACAAAAATGCACTAAAGTAAAACAACAAATTCGAAAAAGTAGCGAATTTGAAAAACAAAACGAAATAAAACAAAAACTTTTTCCAAACAGCGCACAAAACGAATGTATGAGTAACGATAAACGACTTATTCAACGTAGTTACAAATCAATACAACGTACACTTACATACACTAATACACACACACATTTACATGTATATGTGTCTATAACGTTTTATATGCTAGTATTATATAATGTAGAAGGATTAAACGGCTAGAAAGTAATGTCATTCATGAGGAGATGACGCTACAGCTATTCGTTTCAATAAGTTACATACAGACATGTATTTGTATATGAAGTCTATATGCGCTTGGAATCGGCCCAGTATCGGTTTGGTATTTTATTAGTGTTTATTTATAAATTTTTGGCTTTGAAATTAATTTTTTAGTCATAGATTTTCGAAAAAATCTGTATAAATGTAACGGACATTCACTATTGATCCAGTTTGTGAAACAATCCGGAGTTTTCAGGGTAATATTTCTTCAATAGGTTCGGTTAGGTTCATTTGGTAGGGAATGAATAGATCAGTTTTCGTTCGTTGAGATGCCAGATGGACCAGTTACTACGTCCGTGAGGAGTAGTCATCCTTCAGATTGCCTTCTGTGCTTGACGCAAATTTCATTAGCATACCATTGGGAACCCCAGATTCTTACAAGAAATTCTTGTCAATGCGGGACAAGTGCACAAGAGTTGCTTCATTGTTTCGCCGGTACCTTGCTCTATATATACAGTTAGTATTTCTTTCTTTAGTAAGTTCATAAATTCTGGACTAATTCAGTTGGTTTTGAAATCATTCTATTCCTTTAACTTTGTTGTGTTACATAAAGTTGCAGATACATTTCAGAAATACAATCTTACATTACAGTTTGAGATTTTGTGTTCATATAAGTAAACAGAATATTACGTAAACAGAGTTAAGCTGGTAGAAAAAATTTCTGTTTTATGTGGACCCATAAGGTCTGAAATTAAACTCTGTCTAAGCAGCAACTATTTTAGGGGATTTTCGCAAATGAAATTCTAGAAATAAGTTTACGAAACTGATTTTAGCCACAGAGAGAGAGAGATAATGGATGAGTAGGTTTAAGTGAACACGCATTGATGCTCATTTTGTGCTGACTAGAATCAGTAACTGCGAGGAATATTCGATCGTTCCCACGACAGTTGGATCTACCTGATCGGAACAAACTCAAATTTTTTATCCGCTCAAGATCTTTGAAGTCAGCAGAATTCCACTATTACCACTGTTTCTCGAACAAAATTACGTAAGATATGTTAGGTTCTATAGTTGGCTTATGATTCTGTGGTACTTGGACTGCTAATGATAAGCCTTTGTATAGCCGACAGATTCTGTATTTAAAGTTCATGTTTTGGGAAAGTGCCTTAAACTCAGCAGCCTCTATTCGCGCTAGTTCGCATGGATATCTGAAGATATGAGAGCCAAAATCATTTCAGGCTATAGTTCAAGAACAAACTGAGTTCAGGCTTATCAATTTGAATTAGTGCGCTGACAGTTAATGAAAAGAATAGCGAAGCATTCTGGTGTTAAACGGCATTATAAGTTTTCTGAAATGTCTCTTTCATTAAGGAAAAAATAAACTTTTACTATAAAATCTTTGAAGTAGTACAAAAAATTAAAGGATAAATTTAGAATAGCAGGAGATTATAAAATTTCACCAACGGACAGTATGTTTTAGATGGTCTGCTGAAACAATTAGGCAATCCTCTTTTTGATGGTGAGCATTGGATCATTCAGCAATAGTCTGTGCCATCACACAAGGCAAGAACCAAGCAGTAGTGGCTTAAAAGCAATTTTCAAGATTTCGTAGCTGCAAATGATTGATCGACTGGAAGCCTAGCATTGTATGTTGTCAGAGTTGGACGAAATTGTCTGTCCAATACCACACTGAAATTGAAAGAATCTCAAAATATCCTTGGTTCAAACCGCTTCGGCAATACCAATAGAAACTAGGCGTGCTGCTATGGATCGTAGCCAAATTGTTTGAGAAGTTGTGTGAAAGCAAATTGTGAAAAAAATTTGCATATTGCTCATTTAATATAACCATTAGTAATCTGAACCTGAACTTGTAACAGAACTTATAGCAGGATTAAGCTTATACAAACATAAGTTATGAGCTCTTACATACTAAACTGTAGACAGGAATTCCCTACAGAATCCAACATGCTTTAAGCCGTAGCCAAAAAAAATTATTTTTCAAAATTAATTAAGCCGGTTCATACCAATATATTTCAAAAACCGATACAGAGCCCTTCACAGCGCTCTAATACGAAAAATATTAAAGAAAAAACTAAGGCTTCAAAACAACTTTGTGTGAACGAAATGCAAGTTATGTAGACACTGGCTCTGGGCTATTGAATTGTTTGTTTGTTAGGTAGTACCTGTTCCCATATTGGCGCGTCCATTGTAACGGTAATTGTTATTCAAACCATTATTCTTGTATGGCAATGTAGCAGCGCCGCCAACAACACCGCTACCTACGCCAGCTGAAACACCCACACCACCAACGCCAACACTAACACCAATACCAACACCAGCGCCGCCCAACATATGACCACCGCTGGCTGTGCTCGCATCGCGCAACGTATTGCCGCGCATGCCGTTGTTGTTGCAATTGTTGTTATTGCTCAGTAGAAGACTACTATTATTATTGGCGGCACCGTTCACTGGCCCACCAACACCGGTGGCATGTGCATGTGTGTGGTAATCGACGTTGATGCCGTTCGGATGCGGCACACCACTGCCACCACCGACGCCACCGCCATTCATCATGGTGCCACTTGGACGCATATATTGGTGGTAGGCACTGCCGTTCATATCGCCAGCATTGCCAACATAATGCTGCTGCTGATGGCTGTTGGCTGGCATTGTGGCATTTTGTTGCGCTGTCTTGTTGCCACCAACGCCASCACCACCAACACCGTTTACCATTTGATTACCAATGCCATTCATCATGCCGTAATGTTGCTGAAATTGTTGCTGTGGCATTTGTTGTTGTTGCTGTTGTTGTTGTTGCTGTTGCTGCTGGTGGTGGTAGTGATGTTTCGGTGCATGCCGCTGGTGCTGGTGTGCGACAGTGTGTGTGTGATGTGCGGCATGCTGATGTTGTTGCTGGTGATGACGCGTTACCGCCGCCGCACCAGGCTGTGAGGCCAAGCTCGACAACGACGACGAGGAGGCCGGCTGTGAGGTGGCCGACGATGAGGCCGAGGAACTTGTTGACTGTGTGGCCAACGGCGGTGATATATTGCCAGCATAATTGCTGCTGCTGTTGCTGCTGCCGCCGCTCATTGCGTGATTGTGCAGCTGTTGTTGTTGCTGCTGCTGTTGATCGCTGTAGTAAGCTGTGTGTTGTTGTTGTTGTTGCAATGCGGCATAATGATGGCTGTAATTGTGCTGCTGCGCCAGCTGTTGCTGTTGTTGCGGCTGGTGTGGCGGTGATGTCATTTGTTGTTGCTGATAGTAATGTTGATGCGATGTTTGTGCTTGTTGTTGTTGTTGCTGTTGCATATTATTCGATGTGGTCGATGTAGCCGTGGGCATATGATTTTGATGAGAATTGTTGGGCAGGAATTGTGGGTAGACATGGTGCGACCACTGGGGGAAGAGCGGGCGACCTGAGGGTTCTAATTGCCACGGCGCAAGGTGCGGACAGCGGAGAAGCGACGACGGTGCGTAAATTTTGTAAATGTGCCGCAGAAAATGAATGACCAAATGGCACACGAATATATATTTTTTAATTTGAAAATATGGTAATTAAAAAAAGTTTGAAGATTTTTTGGTAACGGTAGTAGACAGTCGACGGTTAACAATTTATTTAGGTTTTGACGCGCGATGAACGAAGTAATCGGTAATGGTATTTGAAATGGTAATTGTAATGGTAATGATAATTTAACATTTTAGGTAATGTTGATAATTGTAATGGTAATGGTAGTGGTAATGATAGTTATAAATTTATTGGTAATAGTAATGGTATTGGTAATGGTAATGGTGGTAAATGTATTGATAATGGTAATGGTAATTATAATTATAAATTTAATGGCAATGTTAGTAATTGTAGTGACAATGGTATTGGTAATGATAATTAAAAATTTTATGGAAAAGTTGGTAATAGTAACAGTAATGAAAATTGTAAATTTAATGGTAATGTTGGTGATTGTAATGATAATTGCAATGTCAATGGTAATGATGATTACAAATTTAGTGGTAATTATTATGTTTATGTATTCGGAGGCGAAATTTTGTTAACATTATGTTGGTATTTGAGACAAATGTATTGATATTGTCAAAAGTACGGATTATAGTAATAATTGTAGTTATAGTAATGTATTGTAATTAATACGACAATCATTTTTTAAAACGATTTTTTTGTAATATTAGAAAAAAAGTTTTAAAATTGTTTTTGTAAATTGTATAATGTTCGAAGTGTAATTGGTTGTAATCAAAATAATGGTAATAGTAATGGTTTCAGTAATGCATATGACAGTTTTAGAGGTAATGCGTGTGTAATTTGGTAATGTAATGATAGCAGTTGTAGTATTGGTAGCGGGAGTGGCATTAATCAATATAGAATAATATATAATCGCGACATTAATTTAGTAATTAAACGGTAATGGTGAGTTTATAAGAACAAAATTGCAGTATTTGACATAAATGGTAGTTGAATTACACGAAATGCGCATTTTTTGTGAGCAAATAATTTGAATATATTAAATACACATAAATATGTGAGAATACAATTACAAACCGACACAATTTACAGTATTCGTGAAATGGACAGACAAATGTGATACACAATGAAAATAATAACAACCACAGTACAATAAATATTCGTCAGTAAATATACATATAATGTTTTTCATACACATTTATTTAAAAAAAAAATATGGATTTTACGAATAATAATTCATAAAATCGTTCCAATAGTCATCGCATAATAAATTATTTTAAATTTTTTTGGTATTAGTTGAGATGCGGTGGCACATTATTCAAATTAATTTCGAAAATCATCGCACCAAATATGACATTGTTATTATTTGAATGCATCGTTTGTTTTAAAATTACAAAAATCCGAACAAAGCAGCGTGAAATAAAGTACAAAGAAAAAGAGAAAGAGAGAAAAAACATTTGGGATATAACGATTAGCAATACTGGCTGTCAAATATTGAAAACAATATGGAATGCTTGGAGGAAATAAAAAAATAAAAAATAAAAGAAAATAAAAAAAAATTTAAAAAAAAATAATAATAAAATTAAGAAATAATTAAAAAATAACTTAAAAACAAATATTTTGAAAAATTTATTAAATTAAAACTATTTAATTGATTATAAAAATATACAATTTCTGGCCCAAGCTTTGAGTAATGGAAACAACGATCAGCCTGGGTGGTTACAAAAAAGGTTTCCGTAAATACAAATAGAAACTAAAATTGACGACCAATACATTGAAGAGGGTAACACTTTTTACAAAATTTTTAAAATGCTTACAACAAAAATTCAATAAGATAAATAAAATCTAAAATAAATTATATAATAAAACTAACTTATAAAAATACCTAAAATATAATAAGTAAATAATATGTTCAAATATATGCTTTTAAATAACGCTGTTTACTAATGTATGTACAGTAAATGAAATGTACTAACTCACAACTTAAAATACGTTCTATAGCTACCCCCTCGAAATAAAATCGTAAATAAGGTTTCGAAATCGTGTGTGTAGTTGTTGCTTTGGATTAGTAGAAAAAAAATCACTACCAACAATTTTTGCTTTTTTCGCTTCTTTTGTTTGTTAGTTGAAGAACAATCGAGTAACGAAAACTTTCAATTCAGCACAATAAATAATTCATTTCGAGTAATTAAAAAAATATATACTAAGTATGTTTATAAAATGTGATTGAAATTTCGGTGCATTCGTATAAGAAAGTAAACGAACAAAACAAACTCAAACTCAAACGAAACGAACTAACCGCAAAGTCAAAGTAAAAGTAAATAATGAAATAACTGTAAAAATTTAAGTAGTGCAAAGCAGTAATAGACAAATTAGCTGGCAACACTTACCGGCTGCTGTACGTTGCATCACAGGCGATTGCCGTTGTATTTGCGGTTCCGCGGGCGGCTCGAGTATATCACGATATTTGGACACCATTAGCACAGAAATGAAATAGACGATGGCGAGCGAGAGGAACTGCGCTTGCTTCGTTTCCTCCTAGAAAAAGTTGAGGTTTTGTTACAATAATTAATCCTTTTTATAGGATTGTTTTAAATGTCATAGCAACTTTGTAATAATAAGCTCATTTTTATAAAAAGTTTTATTTTCAGCTTGCTAAGATGTGACAGCTTCACTCAAATATAATATATTTACTCAACAAAAATAATATGACAGCTTCTCACGACTCATGCGTGATCTGTCAAAACAAAAGGCTATTGAAAAAAGAACTTAAAAAAAATTGGGACTTTCTGGTATATACAGATTGACATAACTAAATCGACACAGCCCTTCATGCCGATCATTTACTTAAGATTTTTATTTTACAGCGTCTCCAACGATTCCTATTAGGTGTTACAAACTTCATGGCAAATTTATTATACCTTCTTCAAGTAAACTTCTGGCAAAATTATGTAGTCAGATACACATTTAGTAAGATCAAACTCACTGTAGAATTTTATTACACAAGTGTTGATGGAAACCTCTATAAAAGTTTATAGGATTCTTGAAGCTTATTAGATCATTTTTATTTAACTAAAATTTTAGCAGGTGAAAAGCTTTCTTAACATTTCACTCCAAAAAAAAAAACAATCATAAAACCTCAAAAAGGTTTCTAGCGACATTTTCAAATACAAATCGAAAAGAAAAGCCCTAAAACTACCATTGTCTTTTCAACATTCTAAAGTGCGGTCTTCAATCTACAGTCATAACAATTTCGTCTCGTCAATTAGAAACATGTTCTGTTAGAAAACACATTTGATATTTCTTGTAGATAAATTGAAGAGAAATTTTTGTTTCTACCGTATAAAATATGTAAAAGGAGCAAGATTTGATACGAGTCAGGAACTTTAGTATGTTGTTAACACAGTATCTATTAGGGATATATCTTATCCAAGCATCTGTATGATATCATCATTAGGGTGAAAGAAATTGTGCAAAACTGAAGACATTTGCGAAATACTAACTCACACAACATTTCTAAGATATGGGGTTCAAGTACAAAGTCGAATCTACGGAGTAAATTTGGAAAGGACTCCAAACGGGAAGATCTATATGTTTTCGATTACGAATAATCTAATCTAGCGAAGGTATCATCTATAGTATCAAACGAAAAGTTAGAGAAATGATGTTTCTAAACAGGTTGGTTGCACGATTAATACTCCCTATCCTAAGGTATTGGCTAAGTATATTGGTTTTAACCGGGTTGACTACATATCTCCACTGCAGGTACCAAATTTACGCTGGCGATGATTAATAACTGTGCATTATGTTCGAAAGAACAGCTGATAATTTTGCTCGAACAAAAAAGTTAGGCTAGATTCTATAGCTGGTCTATGGCTCTATGGTTTTATGACTGCTAAGAACAATGCTTTATGGAGCCACAAGACTAATATAGTTGGAGCTAATGGATCGATAAAACACCTTCAACTCATTAAAAATGTGGTTAGTAATTTTATTGGTATTCCCGGTAGTGAACCGAATACCTGAAATAATGATATACGTTTTAGGCTTGACCTTAAAAATAAAATAAGTTTTTATGGAGCTATGGACTTCGAGTGTGCTTAATACGCCTTGTTTGATGAACTGTTCTATTGTGATTTTGACATTCTTCTGGCCTCGTTTAGAGTACTGGTGATATACTGAACACCCAATGAGACTCATACTGTCGCAATTGTAAGAGTGTTTGCTCATCTTTCAAGAAGTAAGGCTAAAAATCTTGTTGAACGCAAAAGTTGAAAAAGTTGTTTGGAGGGAAGTGTGTTAGATCAGGTATTTTCTATTCTCTTGACCAGCTTTTGCAAGACTGAGTTTGCAACTTCATAACAATCATACTTTCGACAAACCAGGAGAGGAAGCAGAAGCTAATATTGACACCTCAACAAATTTGTGAGAGGCTCAAAACGCTTTGTCGATTTATGAGCGTCTTTATGATCAATATATTAGAGTTTAAAGTCACACAGCAGCGTTATTGGCTCTTCAACTGAGATTTCTGCTGGAATTTGTAACAGGGACCAGCATAAGTGAGATCTCACTTGGAGAGCCTAGAACGCCGTTGTGATCCTTTAAACTCCTATATATTAATTTAAAAAGACTTTCATAAATCGACAAAGCGTTTTGAGTCTGTCACAAATTTGTTGAGGTAGCAGGTAGCTGGGGTTTGAAACAGGAACCGGCTTTCTGAACTCTCCAAGTGAGGCCTCTTCTGGGGTTTGTAACAGGGACTGGCGTTCTAAGCTCTCGAAGTAAGGTCTCTTCTGGGGTTTGTAACAGGGAACGGCGTTCTACGGTCTCCAACTGAGATTCCTGCTTGGATTTGTAACAGAGACTGGCGTTCTAAGCTCTCCAAGTGAGATCTCTTTTGGGGTTTGTAACAGGGACCGGTGATCGGAGTCTCCAAGTTAAATTTCTGCTATGCTTATTATATTGTATATGTTTAATGATAAATTTTAATTCTCTATGATATTTTCAATATCATTTTGAACATTCTCTGTTATTTGCCACAGTTTTCTAATTTACTGCGTTTAAATCACCAAGAAATCCATTGCATTTTATGTTTACAAAAACAAAAAAATTTAAATTAAAAATCATCTCTTACTTACCACATCACGATAGATAACGGCACGCAAGCGATTGACATCCATATCCTGCAGCAGCTTCTCAGGATCCTTGACTGGGGATAATTGACCTGTTATTGACTCAACAATATTCTGAAAATAAAAACAAAGCCATCAAATAAAGTGAGAATGACACAAGCGAACAAAGCAGGGGCAAAATGCCAAACGGCAAGTCATTGAGAAAAGGAAGGAAATGCGAAGAGCTTAACTGCAGCAGCGGCAGGGACCGTCATAGCAGCTGCAATAGCATTTGATAGCAGTCATTGACAGGCATACGTTGCAACGAAGACTAAGGCATTGGGCACATATATACTAGAGTAGTTATGGACGCAGTTATGTGCGGGCTTATGTATGGATACATCAGCGGCGTAGTGCACATATAAACGACTGTGAAAGTGAGTAAACCACAGCGAAGTGCACCATAAGTGTGCCACTTGAAGGCCATAAAGGCAAGACAAGGATTGCTGTGAGATCGACTGCTGACGTCGAGCGGAGACACACTCGTATATGCCGACGCCAGCTGCCTCCAATAGTGCAGCTTATGAAGCTATTACTCTGCTTCTTGCTTTTATGACGCATTTGTAGCGGTGTCGTATTTGTCATTTTACCGCTATTTATGGAATTTTCATTTATGTTTGAGAGTTAAGCGTTGAATTCCTTTTGACTCACCTTGGGCGATGCTTGAGCGCCACGGATGAGCGCCTGCAGGTGTGCTGCGCCGGGTACATCGCGCGCCATAGCGCCCATATTGTAGCGCGTACGCTCCTTACACTCCAGACAATTGCGCACGGCACATGTGCACACCAGACGCAAACATTGACGCAATATGCCGCCGCTGGACATGTTCTTCTCCGCCTCCAGTTCGCCGAAGTTCAACGAGGTGGCGAAGATTAGCACGTCCGCCATGTTGACGAGACGCTGCAGAAAGGAGACGGCCACCTCGAGCGGCATGCCCTGTGTGGGCTCCAGCACATCCAATTCGGACTGTGGGCGAGAAAAGAAAAGAAAATTTAAGTTTATTATTAAAGTTAAATTTTAAACGAAAGACTTCATGTAATCAACTGTAAAAGCAAAAGCAAGCAATAATAGATTTTTAGAAGCTTTAATGTTTCGTCCTCCACCTCCACACTCACATTGGGCGATGTGGCACTGGCCAGTAGTGGCAGTAGACCGCCACAAGCAATGATCAAATTATCCGCTAACTGCGATATCAAATGCACCGTATTCACCACGAATATGGCATTCTCGCTTGAATTTACAAAATCCAAAACACTTTTGGTCGAGTGGCTGCGCCACACTTGTATGTCCGTCTCGAGGGAGAAGAGCACGTCGGAGAGCAGGCGCTGATGTATGTATGACCATTTGAATTCCGGTATGCGAAAGGGTGGACGTGTTGGTCCGGGACTGAACATTGGACGTGTTGAGCCGGTTTTTGTACGTTGTTGCTGCTGCTGCTGCGTTTGCTGCTGTTGGTGTGGATGTTTGTTGTCTGTGGAAGGAAATAAGAGAGTAGTTAATGTAAAGAATAATCTGTTAGATTGTAGTATATGCTTGGCATAAGTTTCATGACGTTGAATTAAGTGACTGCCTATGGTAATCTTATAAAAATTGTCAAATATTACTTTCTGAAGTCCCAGTAATGTCATTACCAAGAAAGCTGGGGCTGTGGAGATAACTTTCCTCGAACAAAAAAGGTAGATAAGGTTCTACGGCTGGTCTATGACTCTATGGTTTAAGGACTGCCAAGATTCCTAATTTAGCATTTCTATTTAGAGTACAGCAGATTTGCTAAAACGTACTGGCTATTGTAGTAAAGAGAGTGAAATTCAGTTCCTTTCTTAATTAACAAACGATCTTTTTAAAAACTCAGCACCTTCGATCAAGAAAATTCAACTCCATCTTGCATAATTCCATAACCATTGGAACAGGTCTGCATGATCATAAATGGAAGCTATCATCTTCGCTTCATCAGTTCAGTTAAGTTCGATTCCTTCATATCTACTCGAAGACGACTGTTGTCGCTTAGGGTTTCCCAAAAATTCTGAGCTTACGATGCATCAGCGTTGACCAAAAATATTCAAAAATGTTTATATCTTTTACACTTCAAAAGCCTCTCATGCAAGTTTTAGTCAAAGATTATTGTAGAAAATTCAAACAGCGGAGGAAATTAATTTTAATTGGATGATAATTCACTAGGTACTAGATGCTAACTCTCAAAAAAACCAGACCAATTTGGTTTCATTAACGCTAAAAAAAAATTCCAGAACCTCCCTGCGGTGTCAATATTTGAAAACGAACATTTCTTAGAGTATTCCGAAAAATGTGAGATTTCGGTAAAAAGCGGGGGTGACAAAGTTCGCGAACCTCTCCATAGTGTTAGTTAGAAAAAATTTGGAGGCATGCATAATATAATAGTGATGATGAGACGCGACAATCAATACTTAGCTCCAACAAATCCAATTAAAGTTAAGTTCCCTATACCAGCACCAGCTTAATTCATTCAGAAATTGCTACCACATGACACAAGACTTCCACACTTTTGGTTGCAAATCATTTCTCAATTTTAATATGGCAAACTAAGCTTTCGCCTAATCTCTCGCGTCGCTCCAACACAAACTCGACTCGACCCAAATGCTAAAACGCAATGACAGCTGTAATCAAGGCAGACACAGATGCTGCTGACCAAGTCGTGGGAAATTCGACGTTGGAGATGAAGAAGCAACCGACGTCGTAATAAAAAAGTAACATCGACAGCTGCTGCTGTCATGCAACCCCTGGCACTTATTTGTCTGCATGAGTGCCGTTAAATCCCAGCTAAGTTTATGTGCGTGCCATTTAATTTTGTGGAAATCATTTGCCGCCCCGAATGCCCGTTCGTGCGCTTCAGGCATGAGTGGAGCGCGTGCTAGTGACTCAGATTTTATTACATTGCAATTGGGGCGAGCGTCAAATTGACAGGTCGGTTTTATCTAATTTCTCAGCAAGTTGCGAAAGATTTAGTGGCATTCACCCCAACTCCCAACATTGTACCATTTGATTACCGCTTAGACTTAAATACATTTCTTTTCTACATACATAATTGCATACCGGACCATTTACTACATTTTATGAAAGTCCTAGAAGTGAAGACTAGCCTCACAGAACATTGGGGGCGCGGGTGGTTGGTACTTACCGAAATGATTATTCTCTACTTGTGTGCTGGCAGTCGTGTGTTTTATTTGCCGTTCATCCACTTGCGCCATATCGTCCTGCAGTTCTTCATGTGTGGCGTGTGTCTCCTCTTCGGTCTGCTCGGCCAGCTCTTCCACTGCTTCGACATCCAAATGTCCAACTGCACCGTCATTGGGCTCGTTCTTTGGCGTGGTTTGTGTGGTGGAGTCGACTTCTTTCACCACTGCATGTGTTATGGCTGCTAATGGTTTCTCCGCGGGCACTTCCACTGCTGCCGGTAATGCAAGTGGGTCTGCCGTTTCCGCTTTCAGCTCATCTGTGTATGCTAAAGTTGCCACTTCGGGCTCAACCGTTTCCTCGACTGCATTTACTGTTTGCTCCAACAAATCATTCACCACTGTTTGCACAATGTCTGTGACATTTTCCTTTGTAGCATCCACTTGTGCTTTACCAGCTTCTTCAGTATGTGTGTCTACCTGTGCCGCCGTTATCACCGTATCAGCTTTGTCTAAGGCGGTTGTGAGCACATCTTCTACGATTTCCTTGGCAGCCTCTGAGACAGCTGCTTCACTAACATCATTCTTCGCTTCTTCTACAATCTCATTGTTGTTGGTCTCTTTGCGCGCCTCATCTTCGGCAATGCTCGCATCGACCACTTTGTCTATCAATTTATCGACTATGTCCTTCACTATTGTCTCGACAATGATGTTTTCATTGTCTACCGCAGACGACTCGGTTAGTCCGAGCAAATTTTCTTCGGTCATGGATGCGCTGGACACCGTTGTTTCGGGGCTAAGTGATGAGATCTCCTCGGTAGTCTCTACTGTGGTCGAAAGCGATGAACTTACATCCATTAGTTCGTGTTCATGCTCTTTGGCAACAACGATTGCCAACTTCGAGGTTTTGTGCTCGTCATTGCTGGGCTCGGCAGTATTTGTGTTGTTGTTATTTATGGTATTTTCATCGGTTTTGTTGTCTTCAGTCTTTTGTTGCGTCCCAATAACGTCAGACGCTTGAGTGAGTAAATCCGTGACGGCATTGTTGGCATTTTCGTTGGTCTCACTGTTCGCATTTGTTTCATTGATATCGGCTGTATTGTTATTGTTGTTGTTTGTTGTGCTTTTGAGCTCGTCAGCATTGTTGTTCAGCAAGTTCTTTGTGTTCAACAAAGACACATTGTCCTCATCGGTTGCAGTTTGCTCTGTGGACGGTTCTTTCGCCGCTTGCTTCTTCTCATTTTTGAGCACGCCTTGTACTACCTCATTGACTGCTAACTCAATTTCTTCATCCTTCAAAACGGAGGAAGCTTCTTGCATTTCATCGGCTACTATTTTGCAGTTTTGTAGCGCCTTTTCTGAGTTTTGCAGCACTTGTTGTACAAGTTCATCATCGGCAGTAGTACCGGCCGCCAACTTGGCGGTGGCCAACTCGATTTCTTCGAGGTCCTCTGCCTTGAGGTTAAGTGTTTGTGACAATGCTTCTTGACCGGCGCTAGTGGTTGACTTTGCGGGTGTACTACTTGCGCTTGCACCCGTCGAAGAGCAGGAGGCGCTACCATTGCAAGTCACTGCGACTGCCGGTGATTCAACGATGCTGGTGACTATCACTTCCGATTTAATGTGTTCATTGTAAACATCGGATATGTTGGAAATTTTCGATTTGATTAAGTCTTCGCTTGGCACCGTCTCTTTCGTCAATTCTTCGTCGGTCACCTTTTCGTCCGGGGAGCAGACACAGTTCGCGGGCTCATTGACATCGGCAGTTGTGTTCAACTCCTGTGTAGTGGACTCAACATCTTCACTCTCTTCCACTTCCTCCTCTACGGGTGGCACATCTTCAAGTGAACCCACCGATTCTTCATCTTTAACTGGCAGCTCTTGTATTGTAGCTGCCGGTAGCGCCGCGTGTCGTTGCTGCTGATGGTGCATATGTGTATGCTCCAGCTGCTGTTGCTGTTGGTGTTGGTGGTGCTGATGATGTTGCTGCTGCTGTTGCTCTTCACGCTCCCAACCACTGATCGTGCTGATGGGACGCGCTTGTCGCAATGCGGGATCGGTTATGTTGTCTGTGCGTTGTCGTTCATAGTGTTCGTACATTTGCGCGAACTGCAGTTTAAATTCTTCGTATGAGACCTTCGAGTGCACTATGGCCAGTGTGTCGACCCACACACGCCAACCGCCGTACTCATGCTTGATCGCGTGATGCAGCAACATACGGAAGAGCGAGTATACCATATCAGAGATTTTCTGCTCTTCGGTATTTTTCGGATGTATGTAGGCCATAGCTATGAGCCATTCTTGCCACACGGACATCTGAAGTACAGTGCGTCGGTTTTCGCGATTGCTATTGCACAGCAGTGTCATGTCGGAGAGAAAGAGCTTCTTCACCTCGATCAGCGATTCGGTTTGTTTGGATTGACGTATGAGCGTAGCGACGACCTTAAGGATCACTGAAAGGAAGAGAGGAATAAGTGAAATATTAGTTACGGTTATATTGAGAGGTAGTCAGTTATTTCGTCATTGGAGAAATATAGTTAGGAAGATACCATTCTCAAATAAAGTCCGTTCCAAAGTGTAAAGCAACAGCAAATGAGAACTATTTGTAGCCCTAACTGCGAGAGTAAAACTTTCGTCACCTAGTTTCAGAAAGACCTATAAAGAGCCCCTACTTTCATGTACCATATCTAAGTAGCATTCAGAACGAAGTATCACAAGGATCACTCTCGGTCACTGCGAGGGAGTTGGTGAAGGTTATAATGGCGGAGGTGCCCGTTGGAAGTTAGTTGGATCTAAAGTCAAGTCGGCGTATTGTTTTATGTCGTCGAGGAAGGTGAGGAATGATCTCTTGATGATCCTATGAGGCGGTTCCGCTCTAGGCAGGAGATTGCAGAATATATTTCTGTGAAAGCTCTGCAGTAGTAACTGCTTGGAGAGGAGTTATTTATTCTACTTAACTCAATATGAGAGATGTTCCATCCGATTACCTTGTATGTTGCGACCTGGGCATTTTGTTGCAATTCGGTACTTTGGCAATAATCGCGGTCGTATGAGGAGTGAAGGAGTCTGTAGGTTATAGCTGATATCTGTACAATTCTTAGTCAACAGCATGTCATCAAGGGTCTAGTTCATTTCTCCCTTTAAGCAACTCACACACTAAGTCCCGCTTGCCTTATTTGCGAATTTCTTCAGCCAATTCACATTTAATCTAGCTAAAATCTTCCCCGATTTATTCCAGCTTAACTGTAATAATATCCCTCTTAATTTTCATTTATGCGCAGATACACTCATATGCGCATAATTCTGCTTTATCATCATCATGCACATAATTCTTTTTGTCCTACATGAAACATTCATTTCGCTAATCCTAAATAAAGGTTTTACTGTACTATCTTTTGCTTATGTAAGTTTAATACAGTGGTGTATATGTGGGGCATCTTTCTCGGTAGGAAATACCAGAATAAATTTCGAGCTAAAACAACGCGCTCACAGCAGTACAAACTAAGACAATTTGAAGCTCTGAATATGAGTTTTCTTCTCAACACGGCAACGACAGACCCATTGTCCAATTTTGATATCGGCTTCTTAATGCTTTCTTATAAAATCGCTGGTGCCAAATTTAGTATTTTGGAAAAAAGAGAGTTTCTAAATATATTGGATATGTTTCTTAGAAAGCCTTACTTAAATATATATTCAAGTTAGTTTTTAGTGAATCACATAGCTAGATTAAGTTGAGTACCGGTAATTAACAACGAGCTACAAGTAAATTTTCCCATAGGGCTTGCTACCCTTTCCACACACAATTATGTACTAAATTTTATATGCTTTATTAATATATATGTATTACATAATTTTATATACTCACTTGGATTCTCCAAACGATAGTGACTCTCAGGCTCTGGATGTCTGGTATATAGAATTTGTTGTGATATATGTTCGGTCATAATTTCGTAGAGGACATTATACGTTGGCAGGGAAAGCGACTCCTCGTAGAGTAATAAACGTTCCGCTAATAGTGTGTATAAGTTGTGCGGCGACATAACGTCATATTTTCGTCTATTAGTGGCGGCAACAGCAGATGGCGAACACGTTAGTGGCAGCAGTCGGTGAAATGAAGACAAAGTTTGTTGCCGCACAACGATGCGAAATAGAAACGCAGTAAGAAAGAAAGAAGAAGAAACAAAAGTTTAAGTTTGAGAAGGTAAATAAGTCGTTTAATAAATTGGATTGCAAAGTAATATTTAATATGCCACCAGCCAGATGGCTGGTTGAGAAAGCGGAGCACAGTTATATTATGTACTCGTATATGTGGGAAGAAAGTTAGGGGTGTTCTGTTGAATTTTTTTTTTCAAACGAAATTATTTATTGTTAAATGAATAAAAATAAATAAATTTGATACAAAAGAATTA